ATTATGATCTGAGAAGATGCTTTGCAGTATTTTGATGTTTTTGAATTTATTAAGGCTTGCTTTATGGCTGATTCTTAGTTTTTATAGTATGTTTTAAAATCATGAAGTGTAAGTCCTCCTACTTTGTTCTTCTCTTTCAACATTGCTTTACCTATTCAAGGCCTCTTGTCTTTCCATTTAAAGTTGAGGAATGGTGTTTCTATTTCTCTAAATAAGGCTGTTGGAATTTTGATGGGGATTGTATTGAATCTGTAGAACAGTTAGGGTGGTTTTGGCATCTTAACGATATTAAGTCTCCCAATCCATGAACATGGAACTTCTCTCCGTATATTTAAATCTTCTTTAATCTCTTTGAGCAATGTTTTATAATTTTCATAAGTTAATTTTTTGAAAAATCTGCTTGAAAATCATCATACTGCAGCAGTTCTCATGAGAAGAGAAAGCCTGTTACAGGATTGACCAGGTAGTTGAATAAAAGCATTTCTGACGTTCAGAATGTGTGCAATCTTAAGGTTGAAGTCTTTGGTTGAAAACTTAAAGTTGAAAGTATGCTATTTGTATGACCCTTGTATATTTGGCCCTTCATTAGATACCTTGTATTGTTCTGAAATCAGGTAACAAGGGTATATATGTATTTATCAGAATAGTATAATGTTCCTTCTGATTTCTGTTTCTACCAGGAAATTGCACAGAGTTTAAAAGAAGAACAGAAAAAGTTACCTTCAGAAACTTCGTTTTCAGATGTTCGGTTCGAAGAAGCAGAATCTAACAGTCTAAAAAAATCTGGTATGTTATGCTGTCTTCTCTCCAATATTTATTCACTCATTTAATAAACATTTATTGAGGACTTGGTGGGTTACAGGCCTGAAAAACAACTTGTGCCTTTAAGGACCTATGGTCAGGTGGTGGTGGTGGTGGTTGTTGTTGTTATGTGCCGTCGAGTCGGCCCCGACTCATAGCGACCCTTCCTTGGGTTTCCGAGGCAGTATCACTACGGAAGTAGGATTGCCCAACCTTCCTTCCGAGGAGTGGCTGGTGGGTTTGAACCGCCAGCCTTCTG